AGTACGCCAAACATTTTGAACAGCCACACATAATTCTAGATTTAAAGCTTTCGTGACTGCTAGGATCCATACTCTTTGGTTCTCTTGGGTAAAGTCACGTAGGTAAAAAATAAAATAACAAAAATCACGTGATTTTTAAAATAAAATAACAAAAATCACGTGATTTTTGTTATTTTATTTTTTAAAATAGGTAAAAAATAAAATAACAAAAATCACGTGATTTTTAAAATAAAATAACAAAAATCACGTGATTTTTGTTATTTTATTTTTTACCTACGTGACTTTACCCAATAGAACCAAAGAGTATAGCCACACATAATCACAACTTTCCTTTTTATATATATGGAGATAATACAGTGAGTAAAACCTTGGATTGCGAACATAATTAGTTCCGGAAACGTGTTTGTAATCCAAAGCACTCGTATATCAAAGCACAACGTACATCAGTTGTGATCACGTGACGCTCGGCAGTACAAAGCGTGTACACGTACTACTACTCGTATTGCAAGACCCTCGCTCGTTTATCAAATTAATATTCATTTAAACAATTTTTGCTCGTCTTGCAAAACACTCGCAGACCAAGTTACTCGCAATCCAAGGTTTTACTGTATATGATAATAATATTATAATAATATATGATAACAATACGATGGGTATTGTCTTTGAAACTGATTGGCCTACACCAGAGACATCAGACTTCTTTAGGGCCCAGTCTCACCACCAGTGTCAGACCAGATAAAGAGTAAAACCTATTGTTGTGTTTTTTAATAGTTGAATATTCATTTGATTATTTTTGCTATCTACGTGACTTTTACCGAAAGACCCAAAGAGTAAGTGTTGAATGACGGTTTAGTTTTATTTCGATTTAAAGCTTTCGTGACTGCAAGGATTCATTTTTCGATTTAAAGCTTTCGTGACTGCAATGATTCATCTTCTTTGGTTCTTTCGGTAAAGTCACGTAGAATGATAATAAAATAATAAATTGATAAAATAAAATAACACAATAAAATTCTCACGACGTTTCGGTCGCTTGTGCGGTGGCCGAAACGTCGTGAGAATTTTATTGTGTTATTTTATATTTTATCAATTTATTATTTTATTCTCATTCTACGTGACTTTACCGAAAGAACCAAAGAAGGTTTAGTTTTACACGTGGGCTTTCGCAACCAATATAATCGATAATATAAGTTGTTTTGGGTAAGATCACGTAAATATAAATGTGTCGTTAAGCCCACCACCACCCCGATTGTAAATGTTGTTGGTTTGCTCTCCAACACACCGGTGTTGGCTGTACTAGCGACGAATTGGCCACGTTCTGTTTACGCGGCACACACCTTACTAGTTGGCTGTGTCGGGTGGTGGCGGGTTTTAACGACACACATTTATATTTTTACGTCGTCTAAACCCCCAAATAAACCTCTAATACGGAGGTTTCTTTTGGGGTTAGATCGCGTAAAATATATATAAATGTTGATTTAAAGCTTTCGTGACTGCAGGGAATCACATTCTTGGTTCTTTCGGTAAAGTCACCACGTAGAAGGGAAACAATAAAATAATAAAAATAAAAAAAATCTTGTTGTGGTTTTCACACCTGATGATGATGATGATTGCTCGTGTTGCAGTCGAAACGTCGTGAGAATTTAATTATTTTTTTTATTATTTTAGTGTTTCCCTTCTACGTGGTGGTGACTTTACCGAAAGAACCAAGGATATATATATAAATGTGTGTCGTTAAACCCGCCACCACCCGACACAGCCAACTCCTAAGGGTTTGTGTCACGTAAACAGAACGTGGCCAATTCGTTTACGTGACACAAACCTTACTAATCGACTGTGTCGGGTGGTGGAGGGTTTAACGACACATTCATATTTACGCGATCTAACCCAACAAACCCCCCCCCGCCCCCGCCCCCCTGTATTATGGATAACATTGTTTTCGCGAAAGCCCTCCTCTCCGTGTTAAACAGACGACATTATGGATGTTTAGGTTTTAGTTTGGCCGACGTTACGAGCCAGAGGCCACCGGGGGGCAGCAGACCGCGTGGCCAGCGATGTCCACGGTCGAGTGACGAGAAGAGGTTCGAGAGTTCAAACCCTGGGTCAAGTGAGAGGGAGGGATGGAGGCCCCCATCATCCCTCCCTCCCTACCTTCGTCCCTGTGGCCTTACGGATGCAAGGCTGTAATTATAATATTATAATATCCCAGTTTCATTACCCGGATTCACCACGCCCGGCCGCCTTTGTCTCCCCAGTGGCGATGTTCACACACCACAGCAGTTACTCGTTTGAGGCTGAGTCGACCTAGGGGAGGCCCAGGACCGGTTCAAATAATCGTCACCGGTGGTGGCCGTGAGCGGGAATCGAACTGGGGTCGCCGGGTTCGGAGCACGGCGTAGCGCTAACCACTACACTACCGCTCCCCCACACACACATTCAGACACACACACAGACATACACATACACAGACATACACACAGACACACACACAGACATACACACACAGACATACACACAGACACACACACAGACATACACACACAGACATACACACACAGACACACACAGACAGCGCGCTAACCACTACACTACCGCTCCCCCCCCCCCCACACACACAGATACACAGACACACACACATACACACACAGACATACACACAGATACACACAGACGCACACACAGACACACACACAGACACACACACAGACAGCGCGCTAACCGCTACACTACAATGCGTTACGCTTCCACGTGCGAGGGTCACGTGACAGATTTGACGTCACAGCTCATTTGCCGTGCAAAAATTTAATGCATTATTAAGCTCCCCCTCCCCCCCCCACAAAAACAAGTGTATTTTAATTTTATAATTGTTGCATGGTGTACAGTCTGGAAAGTACTCACATGGTAAATTTCAAGTTTGTTGTATGTCGGGAAGTACGCTAAACATTTTGAACAGGCACACATAATCGCAACTTTGCCTTTTATATATATGGAGATATTGGGGGGGGACACATCCCCCCCAATAATCATATATGCTCAAAATGTCCCCCCCCCCCAATATATTGCTATAAAAAGTATTTTTTAAAGTAATAATTGCGACGCTATTTAAATAAAAACAACAATTTGCTAAACCTTGGCCACAATATCTAGGACCTGTCTTCATAAAACAATGCGTAGATTTCTGTTTACATGATTGTGGTTATGGTTGTACTTTATTAATCCCTAATCTCTGCCATTACATACAATGAAACAAGATAAAGAAAAAAAAACAGAGCTAAAGTAAATTTTGATTTAAAGCTTTCGGTAAAGTCACCACCACGTAGAAGGGAAAAAATAAAATAATAAAAATATAAAACAATAAAATTCTCACGCCGTTTCGACTGCAACACAAGCAATCATCATCAGTTGTGAGAACCACAGCAAGAAAATTTGAAAAAAGTGGCCACTTTTTCAATTTGAAAAAAGTAGCCACTTTTGTTTGTGTTGCAGTCGAAACGTCGTGAGAATTTTATTGTTTTATATATATTTTATTATTTTATTGTTTCCCTTCTACGTGACTTTACCGAAAGAACCAAGAATACGGATGAGAGCTAAAGTAGTGAACTATTTTGTCTTTTGTCAACGTGACACTTTTTTGCTGATTGGCCGTGTCGGGTGGTGGAGGGTTACGACACATTTATAAATAACGCGATCTACCCCAAAAACCTTTATTATGAACAATGTAATACAATAACACTATTAGACATTATTGTAAAAAAAATCGATCCTACGCGTTAGTGATTTTTTAAAATATTTTAGGCAGGAAATGGCAGGAAATGAGTTTTCAAATTTAGATGTTTTTCTGAGTGGGGAGGGGGACCCCCAGACCCCCTGGATGATTTGGGCCCCCCAATGTTGACTCCATAGCAACGGCCTTGTACGGATGGAATTCGCCTCGTCCACCCCAACCCAACAACACAACCACCACCGCCATAGTAATGTGGAATTTCCACCGCTGGCTCTTTCCTGCAGGGTTGTGAACAGGAAATTGGAGCTGCGCCTCAGTGATCATTGGGAAGAGTGCAAGCAAGTGGCCTGATGTGAATGGTGGATGTTTTAGCGGTGATGTGAATGGTGATGTTAATGGTGAATGTTTTAGTGGCTTAGTTCGTAACTTCGGCGTGGTCAGCGGTGCTAAAATAAGTCAGCACGTTCGAAAATAGCGCACAGAACTGATCACTTAAATGTAAATAACACAACATAATATACAGTGGTTGTAATAATGTATACAATGTTGTACCATATACAGGGCATAATAATATCTAAATATGTTAATTATGTGAATTACTAATTATGAAATGATACATATAAGCCCCGCCCTATGTAAGCCACACCCCCTCTAGCTCCGGTCCCACCCTTCTTCGACTTCCTCTTCGATTCGCCCCGCCCCTCAAGTTCCGGTCCCCTCCCCTTCACTTCGCCCCCCCCTTCTCGACTTCCCGGGTTCCGCCTCTCAAGTTCCGGTCCCCTCCCCTCTACTGCACCCCCCCCCCCCAACTTCCCGCGCCCCTCCCCTCAAGTTCCGGTTCCCCTCCACTTCGCCACCACCCCTCGACTTCCTGCGCCCCTCCCATCAAGTTCCGGTTCCCTTCCACTTCGCCCCTCCCCCTCGACTTCCCGCGCCCCTCCCATCAAGTTCCGGTTCCCTTCCACTTCGCCCCTCCCCCTCGACTTCCCGCGCCCCGCCCCTCAAGTTCCGGTTTCCCTCCACATCGCCCCTCTCCCTCGACTTCCCGCGCCCCGCCCCTGAAGTTCCGGTCCCCCTCCCCTACACTGTGCCCCCCCCCCCACACGTCTTCCTCTACCACGCGCCTCGCCCCTCACGCTCCGGTCACCCTCCCCCCCCCCCCAATTCGCCCCCCCCCCACCGCCGCCGACTCAGCTTCATCTTCTACACGCCCCGCCCCCTCACATTCTGGTCCCGCCCCCCTTTTTTTGCCCCACCCCTCCTCGCACCTTTGCCCCGCCCCTCCCCTCGACTTCCTCCTCCCTCCCGCGCGCGCGCGCCCCGCCCCTCGTCAGATTAGAACCGAGACGCGGCAGACGCTGAGGCGACCCGAGGTTGAATTTTAACAACAACAACAACAACACTATCAACAATAACAACAATAAACAACAATAATTACTAATTAGTAGCAATAAATAATAACACGGACGGCTTTATAATTAGGCCGTCGTGTTTAGTTGCGGCCGTGAGCGGAGTCGTGGGTTCAGTGATCGCGGCGGCGGCGGTGGTGGTGGTGGTGGTGGCGGCGGCTGTTCGGATCGAGCTGGCAAGGTGCTCGCAGTACACACACACACACACAGAGAGATACACACAGAGATACACACAGAGATACATAGAGATATAACACACACACAGATACACACAGACACACACAGAGATACACACAGACACACACACAGATACACACAGACACACACACAGATACACACACACACAGAGAGAGATACACATAGAGATACACACACAGAGATATATAACACACACAGAGATACACACAGACACACACACAGAGATACAGACACACACACAGAGATACACACAGAGATATATAACACACAGAGAGAGATACACACAGAGATACACACAGAGATACATAGAGATATAACACACACACAGATACACACAGACACACACAGAGATACACACAGACACACACACAGATACACACAGACACACACACAGATACACACACACACAGAGAGATACACATAGAGATACACACAGAGAGAGATACATAGAAATATACAGAGATATACATAGAGATATAGTCACAGAGATACACACAGATATACACAGAGATACATAGAGATACAGAGATATACACAGAGATACATAGAGATAGACACACACAGAGATACACACACAGAGATACACACAGTCACACACACACAGAGATACACACAGACACACACACAGATACACACACACAGAGATACACATAGAGATACACACAGAGAGAGATACATAGATATATACAGAGATATACATAGAGATATAGTCACAGAGACACACAGAGATATATACAGAGATACATAGAGATACAGAGATATACACAGAGATGCATAGAGATAGACACACACACAGAGATACACACACAGAGATACACACAGTCACACACACACAGAGATACACACAGACACACACACAGATACACACAGACACACAGAGAGATACACACAGAGATATACAGAGATATACACACAGAGATACATAGATATACACACGGAGATATAGAGATACACGCACAGAGAGATATATCACAGATATACATAGAGATACACACAGAGAGATACATAGAGATACACACACAGAGAGATACATAGATATACACACAGAGAGATAAAGAGATATACATAGAGATATGCAGAGATATACACACAGAGATATACATGGAGATACATAGATATACACAGAGAGAGATATACACAGAGATATACACACATAGATATACACAGAGATACATAGAGATACAGAGATACACACACAGAGAGATATATACACACAGAGAGATACACACAGAGATATACATAGATATACAGAGATATACACACAGATACATAGAGATATACACAGACACACACAGAGATACACACAGACACACACAGACACACACACACAGAGATACATAGATATACACATAGATATACAGAGATATACACACAGAGATATACATAGAGATATAGTCACAGAGATACACACAGAGATACACATAGAGAGAGATGTACACAGAGATACACAGAGATATACACAGATACACACAGAGATACAGAGAGATATACATAGAGATACACACAGAGATACACACACAGAGAGATGTACACATAGATATACACAGAGATGTACATAGAGATATACATAGAGACACACAGAGATATACACAGATACATAGAGATACACATAGAGATACACACAGAGATGTACATAGAGATACATAGAGATATACAGAGATGTACACAGAGATAGAGAGATACATAGAGATATACATAGAGATACACACAGAGAGATGTACATAGAGATATACATAGATATGTACATAGAGATGTATATAGAGATACACATAGAGATACATAGAGATACACACAGAGAGATGTACATAGAGATATACATAGAGATACACACAGAGAGAGATACATAGAGATATACATAGAGATATACATAGAGATACACAGAGAGATGTACATAGAGATATACATAGAGAGATGTACACAGAGATACATAGAGATATACATAGAGAGATGTGCATAGAGATATACATAGAGATACATAGAGATACACACAGAGAGATGTACACAGAGATACATAGAGCTATACATAGAGATATACATAGATATACATAGAGATATACATAGAGATAGTCACACAGAGATACACACAGAGATACTGACACACACAGTTAGATGTACACAGAAATACATAGAGATATACATAGAGATATACATAGAGAGATGTACACAGAGATACATAGAGATATCCAGAGAGATATTCACACATAGAGATATACAGAGATATAGTCACACGGAGATATACACACAGAGAGAGATATACAGAGATACATAGAGATATACATAGAGATATAGTCACACATAGAGATATACACAGATACACAGAGAGATACCACACAGAGATACACAGAGATACATAGAGATATACATAGAGATATAGTCACACAGAGATACATACAGAGATACATAGAGATAAACATAGAGATATAGTCACACAGATATACACAGAGATATACACAGAGATATACACAGAGATATACACAGAGATACACACAGAGAGATACCACACAGAGATACACACAGAGATACACACAGATACATAGAGATATACAGAGAGATGGTGACACATAGAGATATACACGAAGAGATACACAGAGAGATACACAGAGATACTGACACAGAGAGATACACAGAGAGATACACAGAGAGATACACACAGAGAGATACACAGAGATACGCACAGAGATACACAGAGAGATGTACACAGAGATACTGACACACATAGAGATATACACAGAGAGATACAGAGAGATACAGAGAGATACACACAGAGATACACACAGGGAGATACACAGAGAGAGATGTACAGAGAGAGATACACAGAGATATGTACACTGAGATACTGACACACACAGATATACACACAGAGAGATACACACAGATACTAACACAGAGATATACAGAGAGAGATGTACACAGCTACTGACACACATAGAGATATACACAGAGAGAGATACACAGATACTGACACACAGAGATACACAGAGATACACAGAGAGATACACAGAGATACTGACACAGAGATACACACATAGAGAGATGCACACAGAGATAGTCACACATAGAGATACTGAGACAGAGATACACAGAGAGATACTGACACAGATACATAGAGATACTGATACACAGAGATAGTCACACATAGAGAGATACACAGAGAGATAATGACACGGAGATACTGACACAGATATTCACCCGTAGATGCTCACACATATACTCACCCGTAGATACTCATAGCGACAGATACATAGAGATATTCACACAGAGATACAGTACTCACATAGAGATACTCACAGAGATACACACAGAGATACCAACACACAGATACTCACACAGAGATATTCACAGAGATACTCACACAGATTATCGTGGCGGCCTAGAGATGCTTCAGAGACGTAGAGATACACACGGAGATAGTCATAGCCTCATGTAGAGATGCAGTGCCTACGTAGAGATACTGAAAGAGATACAGAGCGATACAGTATAGATATTCTCACATACAGATACAGCGTTCACATAGAGATACGTCGAAACAGAGATAGACTTGTAGAGATACATAAAGACATAGAGATAGTCGCATGGAGATAGAAATACACAGTTACACGTAGACACACACATAGCGATACAACCATTGGTCGTAAAGGTATTCACACAGCGCATCACGACTCCCAGAGATGCATAACACAGAGGTGCATACACAGATACATACTGATACTCAGAGACACGTAGACTCACAGAGATACATACACAGAAATACATACACAGATACATACACAGAGATACATACACAGAGATACATACTGATACTCAGAGACACGTAGACTCACAGAGATACATACACAGAGATGCATACACAGATACATACACAGACATACATACACAGAGATACATACTGATACTCAAGCGACACGTAGACTCACAGAGATACATACACAGAAATGCATACACAGATACATACACAGACATACATACACAGAGATACATACTGATACTCAAGAGACACGTAGACTCAGAAATACATACACAGAAATACATACACAGATACATACTGATACTCAGACACGCAGACTCACACAGATACATACACAGAGATGCATTTACAGAGATACATACACAGAGATACATACACAGAGATACATACACAGAGATACATACTGATACTCAGACACGCAGACTCACAGAGATACATACACAGAGATACATACACAGAGATACATACAGACATTATATCGACAGAGATACACAGAGATTCACTTAGAGACATAGAGATACACAGAGATACACAGATACATACACATATTGATACATAGATATGCGTGTAGAGACACGCACAGACACATAGATTCATAAAGACACGGAGATACCTCCAGGTACACATATAGGCATAGCGATACAGTGCTCATAGAGACAGAGAAAAATAGAGATGCGTGTACATAGAGATACATAGAGATAGATAGACTGATCGATACACTGTACACAGAGATGCACACTGAGATGCACAGACATACCAACATTCAGTATATAGAGACACTTACATATGGAGACATCGACTCAGAGTTACATGGAGATACAGAGAGAGACACAAATGGAGACATGCATAGAGAAAGACTGTACATAGGGGAAGAGCGAGATGCATTGAAACACAAACACACATCGCGACAAATATGGCCAAATAAACCCTACGTACAGACTTCGCGCACACAGACAGACTCACACACACGTGTACACAGATATACATGGACACGGAGACAGATATAGACACACACACACAGACAGATATAGTCAGAGAGATTCCTTGAAAAGCACAGCGTATAGAGAGACATTGTACATTCTGATACATAAATAGAGACGTACATAGGCATGCGTAGAGATTCATAGTGACATACACACAGACACGTATATAGACACACAGACATACATAGACACACACACAGACGTACATAGACATACGTAGAGATTCATAGTGACGTACATAGACACACACAGACACATACATAGACACACACACACAGATACACCACACACACAGATACACCACACACACACACAAATACACCACACACACACAGATACACCACACACAGATACACCACACACACACACACAGATACACCACACACACAGACAGATACACCACACACACACAGATACACCACACACACACAGATACACCACACACACACAGATACACCACACACACTGATACACCACGCACACACACAGATACACCACATACACACAGATACACCACACACACAGACAGATACACCACACACACAGACAGATGCCCCACACACAGACAGATACACCACACACACAGACAGATACACCACACACACACAGATACACCACACACACACAGATACACCACACACACACAGATACACCACACACACACAGATACACACACACAGATACACACACAGATACACACACACACACAGATACACCACACACACACACAGATACACCACACACACACACAGATACACCACACACACACACAGATACACCACACACACACAGATACACCACACACACACACACAGGTACACCACACACACACACAGATACACCACACAGATACACCACACACACACAGATACACCACACACAGATACACCACACACAGATACACCACACACACACATACACCACACACACAGATACACTACACACACACAGATACACCACACACACACAGATACACCACACACAGATACACCACACACAGATACACCACACACACACATACACCACACACACAGATACACTACACACACACAGATACACCACACACAGATACACCACACACACACACAGATACACCACACACACACACAGATACACCACACACACACACAGATACACCACACACACACACACAGATACACCACACACACACACAGATACGCCACACAGATACACCACACACACACAGATACACCACACACAGATACACCACACACAGATACACCACACACACACATACACCACACACACAGATACACCACATACACACAGATACACCACACACACAGACAGATACACCACACACAGATACACCACACACACACACACAGATACACCACACACACACAGATACACCACACACACACAGATACACCACACACATACAGATACACCACACACACACAGATACACCACACACACACAGTTACACCACACACACACAGATACACCACACACACAGATACACACACACAGATACACCACACACACAGATACACACACACAGATACACCACACACACAGATACACCACACACACACAGATACACCACACACACACACAGATACACCACACACACACAGATACACCACACACACACAGGTACACCACACACACACACAGATACACCACACAGATACACCACACACACACAGATACACCACACACAGATACACCACACACAGATACACCACACACACACAGATACACTACACACACACAGATACACCACACACACACAGTTACACCACACACACAGATACACTACACAGATACGGCAATTCACAGCAGCAGCTATTCGTGGACTCTAAGTAACGGTGACGTCACCGCGGCGTGTGTGCCAGGCTAGGTGCACCTGACAAGACATCGCTTCCTGCAGCGGCACTGCGGAGAAACTGAGACGAGAGGTGAGACAGAACTGAGACAGACAGACACTGAGACAGGGAGACACTGAGACAGGGAGACACAGACGTACACACAACAGACAGGGAGACACTGAGACAGGGAGACACTGAGACAGGGAGACACTGAGACAGGGAGACACTGAGACAGAGAGACACTGAGAGAGCGAGACACTGAGATAGAGACAGAGAGACACCGAGAGAGAGAGAGACACACACAACAGACAGGGAGACACCGAGAGAGAGAGACACACACAACAGACAGGGGGACTGAGACAAAGACAGGGAGACACTTGGGGAGAGAGAGGGAGGGAGGGAGGCAGTGTGACAGGCAGGCACAGAGAGATGGGGACACTGAGACAGGGAGACACTGAGAGAGAGAGACACACACACACACAGAGAGACACAGAGATAGAGATATATACTTAGAGAGATCGGGACACTGAGTCAGAGAGAAGGAGACAGACAGAGTCGGGCAGACACTGAGACAGGGAGACACTGAGAGAGAGACACAGAGAGAGGGAGAGATTTACACTGAGAGAGATCGGGACACTGAGTCAGAGACAAGGAGACAGACAGAGTCGGGCAGACACTGAGACAGGGAGACACTGAGAGAGAGAGAGAGACACAGAGAGAGAGAGGGAGAGATTTACACTGAGAGAGATGGGGACACTGAGACAGCAACACTGAGACCCTGGGTTTGAGTCCTGGGTCTGGGTATCTTTTTTTTCTCAGGGGTTCATCATAATGGCCGTGTCGGATTCATAATGTCGATGTCAAGTTCATAATGGCTGTGTCAGAATCATAATGGTCGTATCAGGTTCATCATTGCTGTGTCAGACTAATAATTGCTGTGTCAGAATCACAATGGCTTTGTCAGGTGCGCAATGGCCATGTCAGGTTCATTGTAACATTATCAGGTTTTATAATGGCTGTGTCAGGTTCATATTGGCTACGTACGGTGCGAAAGAAGTTCAACATATATATGTACATACTGGCAGTATCAGGTTCATAATGGCCGTGTCAGGGACACTGAGCCAGCAACTACTCAGGTCATGGTTTGAGCCCTGGTTCTGGTCATCATGGACAAGTTTCCGATTCACAAGTTCTAAGAGTGCCCAAGTGTGGATTGTCAGCCCTGAGCCAGTGGTGGAAATTCCACATTCCAATGGCAGGATCCACGTCCATGCATAACCCAATAGCGCACCTGGTGTCTTGACTTACCTCCCATGTAGTAATAGGTTTTTACCTATTAATATATCTTGTTACTAGCAAAGGAGGTCTCAATGTAAATTACCTCCCATGGTTATACCCACAATGCAACCTGGCTTCAAATTGGTGCCGCCCCCCCCCCCCCCACAGCAATACCCATGATGCACCGACCCACCAACCCACTCACTCACCCGTTCACCCACCCACTCACTCACCCGCTCACTCACCCGTTCACCCACCCACTCACCCGCTCACTCACCCACTCGCCCACTCACTCGCCCACTCACCTGCCCACTCACTCGCCCGCCCACTCGCTCGCTCGCCTGCCCACTCACTCACCCGCCCACTCACCCACTCACCCACCCACTCACCCACCCACTCAGCCACTCACCCACCCACTCAGCCACTCACCCACCCACTCAGCCACTCACCCACCCACTCAGCCACTCACCCACCCACTCAGCCACTCACCCACCCACTCAGCCACTCGCCCACCCACTTATCCACTCACCCACCCACTCACCTACCCACTCAGCCACTCACCCACTCACTCACCCAACCACTCACTCACCCACTCACCCAACCATTCACTCACCCACTCACCCACCCTCTCACCCACCCACACACCGACCTATCCACCCACTCACCCATCCACTCACTCACCCATCCACTCACTCACCCACCCACTCACTCCTCCACTCAATCACTCACCGATCGGTGAGCGAGAGTACAATCCTCACAGCCAGATCAGCAATTCGAGACGCGACGTTTCGCTCGAAACTGGGTCAAGCCTCATCAGCAAGAGGTCCGGAAGCTTTCATTGCACCACCGGTTCAACACAAGCAATACTCTGGACGGGGTTCGTCATTCAGTGTCTCATCAGCAGGGCCAGGCTTTTGCTTGAACCATCGATTCAACACAAGCAAAAATACTGGGCCGCACACACGCACGCACTCACTCGCACATAGGCAAAGATACCCTGTATAGCCTGAATAAACTGTTGGGGCAAGTGCTGTTAGCGAACACCTTTGAAGGCCGGAACGGTACACGATGGGGTGGGTAGCCAGCATCACGCCCGGCCGCCTTTGTCTCCCCTAGTGACGATGTTTTTCTGCTCACCACACCAGGTGCACTCATTTTTGGGCCGAGTCGACCTAGGGGAGGCTCACGACCGGTTCAAATAATCGTCACTGGGTGTTGGCCGTGAGCGGGAATCGAACTCGGGTCACCAGGTTGATAGCGCAGCGTAGCGCTAACCGCTACACCACCGCTCCCCACTCACACGCACACACGCACACACGCACGCACACACACGCACACACACACACGCACACACGCACGCACACACGCACACACGCACGCACACACGCACGCACACACACACGCACACACACACACACGCACACACACACACACACGCACACACGCACGCACAAAAACTGGTGAAGTAGGGACCTTGACTCTGCTGCCCTATGAAGCAAGGACTGACGGAAATCACAGGGCCTTGAAGCTGTCTGATTGTGGGGGGTGGTGTGGGGGGGTGTTGTGGTGTGGGGGGGTGGTGTGGGGGGGTGGTGTGGGGGGTGTGGTGTGGGGGGGTGGAGTGGGGGGGTGGTGTTGGGGGTGTGGTGTGGGGGGGTGGAGTGGGGGGTGGTGTGGGGGGTGGTGTGGGGGGTGGAGTGGGGGGGTGGTGTGGGGGGGTGGAGTGGGGGGTGGTGTGGGGGGGTGGTGTGGGTGGGTGGTGTGGGGGGGTGGAGTGGGGGGGGGTGGAGTGGGGGGTGTTGTGGGGGGGTGGTGTGGGGGGGTGTTGGGGGTGTTGTGGGGGGGTGTTGTGGGGGGGTGTTGTGGGGGGGTGTTGTGGGGGGGTGGAGTGGGGGGTGTTGTGGGGGGGTGTTGTGGGGGGGTGTTGTAGCGGTTAGTGCGGCTCCCCAAACCCCGGCGACCCGAGTTCGATTCCCCCGCTCGTGGCCACCACCACCAAGTGACGATTATCTCTGAACCGGTCCTGGGACCTCCCTCTAGGTCGACTCAGCCTCAAGTGAGGTACCTGACTGGGTGCGTGTAAACATTGCCAGTCTCTTTCAGGCTATGCGGGGGATCGTTGTCTTTGGTGTCGTGGTGGTGGGGGGGTAGGAGGGGTAGGAGGAGGAGGAGGAGTAGGGGGGGTAACGTAGCCCCCCCCCCCCTCTTCCCGTGAACTTTGCCCCCCATCCGTAGCGTGCTGATGGTCGGAGTCGCCCGTCATGTGACCGCACGTGCGGCCGGTGTCAAAAGGGCATCGCCCGCCCGCCGCTGCCGATTCATTCCTGGAATGAATGAATGAGCGAGCGAGCGATCGAGTGACGGCGGACTCGTTCGGTCGTTTGTTTTGTTCGCTCGCTTGCTCGCCATCGTCATCGTTATGGTCGTCGTCATCGTCGTCATCGTCATGAGCAGTCGTCGTCTAAGTCAGCGTCGTCATCGTCGTCATCGTCGTCACCAATTGAGTGGTCGGAGCATTTTTCTTGGCAGGTCCACTGGAGAGCCTTGCGCACGCCCCTGGCGCTGTAATGTGGAATTTCCACCACTGGTTCAGTGGCCACCGGCGGCGGCGGCGGTCGGTACCGCACATGCACTTGGGAGAGAGAGACGGAATATTATTGTCTCTGTGTCTCTCTGTGTCTCCGTCTATCAGTGTCTGCATCTGTCCGTGCATGTGCCTCCTATGTCTCCGTGTTTTTTCAATGTCTGCGTCTCCGTGTCTCTGCGTGTATCTCCATCGCAATGTGCATTCCGCTCTGTCTCCGTGTCTCACTCTGTGTCTCCCTGTCTCTCTGTGCGTCTGTGTCTCTGTGCGTCTGTCTCTCTGTGCGTCTGTGTCTCTGAATTGCGACGTCACCCAGGGCCCTCCCACCCCCACAATTAGCCGGCGGTGTGGAGGGAGGGGTTGCCAAAATCCCAAATCCCAAGTCATAAATCTGAGCAGACGCGGTAATCACGTGCAACAACACGTGTCGTATTTAACACGTAGGCTGTCGCGACCAATATCCATAAAATCGTTTTTTCTTTGGGTTAGATCGCGTAAATACATAGTACAGCACCACTAGTGACGAATTGGCCATGTTCTGTTTACGTGACAACCCTTATTAGTTGGCTGTGTCGAGTGGTGGCGGGTTTTAACGGCACATTTATATTTTAACTATTCACTACACGCCTATACACTACACTATACACTAGTGCTGTACTAGTATACTACACTATACACTACACTATACACTAGTGCTGTACTAGTATACTACACTATACACTACACTATACACTAGTGCTGTACTAGTATACTACACTATGCACTACACTATACACTACACTATACACTAGTGCTGTACTAGTGTACTACACTATACACTACACTATACACTAGTGCTGTACTAGTATACTACACTATGCACTACACTATACACTAGTGCTGTACGAGTATACTACACTGTGCACTACACTATACACTACACTATACACTAGTGCTGTACTAGTGTACTACACTATACACTACACTATACACTAGTGCTGTACTAGTATACTACACTAGACACTACACTACTATACACTACGCTATACACTAGTGCTGTACGAGTATACTACACTGTGCACTACACTATACACTACACTATACACTAGTGCTGTACTAGTGTACTACACTATACACTACACTATACACTAATGCTGTACTAGTATACTACACTAGACACTACACTACTATACCCTACGCTATACACTAGTTCTGTACTAGTATACTACACTATACACTACACACTAGT